GCCAAACCAGTGGACCACGAGATGGACATCTCGGCCTTTAGATATGTAAAGTGTCATATTCAGATCAGGCAGGTCGTCATCAGGCCTAGAATGGAGATTTAAATTAAAGGCAAGAGCCACTAAGACAGTTTTTAGTAATATTCGTATATTACTGCCAAGGGAGACCCAAGTTTTTTGCGGATTTCAAGATTCCCTGTCCTCAAAACCTTTATCTTAAACGATAAAAACTCCTTAAAGAAGGAAATTATATAAAATAAATAAAAATAAAATAAATCAGAATAAAAAATAAAAAGGAAACTTTTATGAAAGATTTCTGTAGGATATTGGTTTTATAAATATTTTATATGTTTTGTAAAATTTCAGGCTTACATTTCTGGGACATTTTTACCAACAACAACGCAAAAAATTACTCGTGTTGCGTGAAGATGGCATAAATACGCTGGACGTTGGTACGAGAATTGGCCCCATCGACAGTTACCGGCGAGAAATACCCTCTGTTTTCGAGAAAGGCTTCAAACGGACTAAATCAAATGCACCGTTGTTTCCGAGAGTCTTACTAGAGGTAAAAAGATTTTTTGTTTCGCGTCGGTATAACGTCGACGAGTTGAAGAAATTCTTCCTTTGTGACGGCCCTGTAAGCGTGAAATAGTCAACGACAATAAAAAATTAACTTGCCAGGGCACCGCCAGGTTGTTGGCTGCATTGGAGGAAGAAATAGATTGGAGTGAAAGGCGAGCGCCGTACGGTTGATTAACATCTTCCACAACCGTCAGTTGGTTGACTGTATCTTTCATGACCTTTTTCATCTGAAATTGGCTTTTTTAGTGATCTAGTTTTCTTGCGGGACCAAGCCTATCTTGTGCAGAATTTTTGTTTATTTCGAGCCTGGCTTCAAAAGCTGGAAAAGGATCAGATGCAAAGACATATGCAGAGTTTCAGGGCGATAAGGCAAAAAAATTGCCGAAATTGGGACAATTTGAGCCGTTTGAGAGATTTTTGAGATTTGGAAAACAGGTTTGGAATCAGCGTAAAATTCAGCCGAACGTGGTGTGGTGCCGTAGATTGGCTCTAAGGAGCTTCTCCTTGCTAGCGTACTGATACTCGAGTGGTAAACGTCGCCTCTAGGGTCTCAGAGGATCATCGTTTTATGATTTTTTTTCGGGAATTAACCAACCGTGTTAAAGACAGTCTGATCAGTGCCCGTCGAATCGAATGCAAAGGCTATGTCGACGCCCAACAAACCTGCCGTGCCGGCCGTCGGAGGCGGTGTCGGGGTCTAAATTTTCATACAGGATCGCATCCGGATCCATACCGTAGGCGCTGTCGGCAGGGTTGTAATGCTCCGGGGATACGCATACATATTGAATATCACTAAAAAAGTTCAAGATTTTATAAAGCATCTTACCATCTTTGTCGCCATAATATTGGAGAAGGATGGTGACAACTGGATTAAAGCTGGCATAGAGGGCCAGTTGCTCCTTATAGTTGGCGTAGTTGGACCGCGAGAGTCTGTAATAGCGTAGAAGTAAACAGGTGGGCTCGAGGAAGTACATAGAAAATCGACTGGCTTTTTGCTTCCGGGTAAACAAATGCTATTACGACCTCAAGGAAACACTGTACTTATTTTTTTGCAAATACGCGTTCAATTTTGCGGATTAAATTTGCTGGCATGATTAAAATAGCACGGGGGGTTTCTAGAAATAATGTCTCTCGTTTAGGTGTTTTTATATCCAAGGGGAACTAAAGAAGGGCTAATTAGCGAGAGGAAACTCACGTAAAAACGGTTTGATCTCCATCTTTGATCACTACAGTGAAAGAGTCGCCACTTCCCACATCAAACTCCGTGACGACGAACCCCTAAGTTAGGACTTTTTTACTATTAACCGAAACAGTTTTCCCACCCCGACACCCTTCGAACCATCATTCTGATTGATGACGACAGTGCACTGGTTCGGTGTCTGCGGTTCACAATTGTTGTAGTCATTGTTGTCGTAGGCACTTTGAATGACGAACGTAGGATAGCTTTTTGTGTAATTCCAAGAGCAGATGCATGTCGATGACGCCAAAGAAACTGAACAAGGTTGGATTGCGGATTTCTAGGTCGACATACCAAGTCCAAGGAACAACAACGTCGTCCGCACGATCATCGCAACTCGCTAACTGGCCTGCTACAAAATAATTAAATTTTACGTTCTCATGCATGGGGGCAAGGACAAGAGATCAGTGCATAATGCATCGAAGCAAAAACGACACGAATGGCCGAACAACCAGCCGCCAAATGTTCTCTGGCCTATAAATACCCAGAAGACCCTTAGATGCATTGGGCGTCGGCCTGAGCAAAAATCATTGTGTGTTATCTTGGTAAGTGAGCCAGTGTGATCGGAATCGTAAAAGACCTGAATTTAGAATGACGTTTTGTTTCGCAGGTGGATGCAGCTATCAGCTCAAACGAACTCTTCGCGGGATCTCTGCGTTACTGCAAGAAACCCCAAACTCGGCAGGTGCGGAACCTCTCTTTTGAAGCCAATGAATACCACGATAATATTATATACAGGCGGCTCCAACCCCCTCCCCCTACCGGGATTTGACCTTCTTTTATCCGGTCGAATTGCAATTTTTATCTATTCGGCCGTAAAACTCTGTGAGGCCGCTTTTTCGAAGCAAAATATCGTAACACCAAAACTTTGTAGTTGATCCTTTATCTATTGTTATCAGCAAATAGAAAAAGTTATTGTAAAAAACGATATCACAGTGTTGCGGAACAGCGTCACACTAGTTTTCGATAAAAAAAAATGCAAAAGCAAAAAAAGCGACCGCGGCAGAGGTCGAACCAGTGACAGCGTGCTCAGGAAACCAGCCCTTCTAACCATTGCCCCGTCGCGTCGCTGGGAGGGTGGTGGTGAGGAGCACGGGCGTACGCGGGGCGGGGGGGGAGGGGGCGCAACAGGGGCAAGTCCCCAAAAACGGCCGAAGGCCGAAAAGTTCATAGGGGGGGACCCTTATGATTTTTTCAATAAAAATTTTTCTGCCTGCGGCGCTGTTCCTTACTGTTTTTAAGACGGTTTTTACTTCTGTGAAGCCTATTTTTCCCAAATTTTTTGCCTGCCGCGATGTTTTTCATTAGTGCATCAATTGTCCTTATAAAATTTTCGCCTGCGGCGCCTTTTCTGTGCTGTTTTTACATGAATTTGAGCGTTTCTAACGCTTTTTCCTAATTTTTTTTTCTGGCCCTTTTGAAAGTGGTGACCGGGGCGGGGAGGTCGACAAAAAGTTTTCGAGTTGCCCCCCGCCCCCGCCCCAAAAATCGGGTTCGTGTACGCCCCTGGTGGGGAGCCTCTCTGAACCCCCCAGGGGCGCGATGGGCCAGATTCGCCCAAATTGAAATTCGTTTTTAACCTGTTTCCGAGGGGTTCCGCAACTTTTGACAACGGATTCGGGATCATCGAAAAATTCTGCACAAGGTGTGCAATCTCCCATAACGAAATCCCACGGTCAACATAAGAGGGTTACAGTAAGGCATTCAAAAGTTGAAACTTTATTATTTATATAAATTGACCGGCTCAAGCCGAGGGACAATTGTCCTCGTCAGTCGACGCGGCGGTGAATTTGATCCCGTGGAACACATTGTATTCGTTGGTAGTGAATGTGACCGTTGCCGTTGCGCCTTTAAGTTGGAACTTCGATCCGGCGATACCCATTCCAGTGAGACTAAAAGGAGTACATGGTCTGCAAACCAGGAGGCGCACAAATTACCTGGCACGTAGATTGCCACTTCCATCGAAGAACCTTACATAGTCTTTCTCCGGCTCAAGCTCATATGGTTCAGTAATTGTGATGCAGATAGCCTTCTTCTAAATGATGAGCTCTTCTCTCCCCTTTGATAAAGATCAATACCTTCCATTTTTAATAGATAGCTAGAGAGATCAGGTTCTTATCGAGATAAATTTTCTCCTTTAATGAAAAGGAGAACCTTTAATCGATATGGAAAGAAAAGAGAACCATGCCGTTTAAATGCAACAACTTCAATTTAATTTTGGATCTTTCGATTGGTAAGTCTCTTGGCTATTACTCCATAGATGTCTCGGCAAGTCCTGCAAGCTTATTTCGAAACCCACGCAGCTGCCTGCCCAAATTCTTTAATGCTTGGTGCCTCAAATATTGTTGCAAATCCAGTGTTTGGATGCAACCAAATTTTTTTTTGATAAATCGCTTGCGCGGCACAGAAAATAAGTCTACTTACCCCAGCGGCTTGTAGAAGCAGAGTGGAGGCCTGATTGTTGCAATACCGCGCGGTTCCCGGGGTGTAAAGCCTACTTTTATTATAGCCACGATAATAAAGAGCTTACGGTGGCCATTGGTAAGACAGCGAACCATCCGCGGGAATGACTTTGTTCTCACTACCCCCATTCGCATTTGAACAACCAAAGTTCTTGCCTTAACGTAGGTATTCAAAAATAGAAGTGATGAGCACTTTCTAGAACTTTTCATGGCAAAAAAAGGTTTTGGTCGGACATGGTTGGCGGGTGCACAATTCCGGTTAACTAGTAAATTTTAGGAAACCCCCAGCCGCAACTTTTCGATCATCCGATCAATCGATCATTTTTTCGGTCTATTTATGTGTGGAGTATCTCAAAATGTTTGCCGTGGTTGAGTTACTGTACTAGAGTTGTTTCCTGACGCCAAAAATTGTTAGAAATTTTTTTTAGCAATTATAAGTCCGGGGTTTCCTTCATTAATTTTTCCTGGTCCAAAGTAAGTTTTCGTATCTCGGCGCTCCTTAGACCTAGAGAACTGGCAAGGGCAGCAAAATGTCGTTCTTGGTCTGTAGAATAAGACTAAAGTACAATTGAACCGAAATAAATAGCGAAAAAGAAAATATTTGGGTTTGAAACACGTCACAAGAATGGCGACTTGAGCTTTTCACATTTTAAAAGTAGTAAGTTAGTAAGCAAGTTCTAGTAACTTTTGGCTTCAAGAAACAACTTTCTTATAGTAACTCAACCACGGCGGACATTGTGAAATACTTCACGCATTATTAAGACGTATGGCTGAAAAGCGGCAGAAAAGTTGCGGCTGGGGGTCTAAAACCGTTTCATAATTGATGCTTCCGTTCAGCTTATTTTACGACAAAATTTGCAAAAATGGAGCTTTTGATTTGAATTCCTGGTTCGGCATATCGCAACTCACTGGCGTCATTGGTCAGCAAATATTTTTGGAAGAAGTCATCTGGGGAATCCGGGTTGTACGCAATGTAGTCAAAGTTCTTATAGGTCTGAACCGCGGTTTTGAAAGGAAAACTTTTTTCGGCGTACGGTTGTGAATTGTTGTAATTTAGAGTCCGGACTTGAGCCGAAGTCAAAGACAACCATGTGCACGTCAACGTCCTTTAGTTTGGCAATGAAATCCCCGATTTTATCGATGTCCGATGGCCTAAATTTTTGGTTTGAATGGTATCGCAAAACCTTTTTCTTGGTTCGCGATATTAGAGCTGCTAGAAGGTTTTCAAACGCACGATCAACAACTTAATTGAAAATTTAAATTAAAATTTAGAATATGAAATTTAAAACAACTTACGCGCCCTGCGTGAAGATAGCGTACGTTCGCTGTACATTGTCTCGTGATGATGATTCGAGAACGCCGGTCTTGAAAAACGCGTTATCGTCGTCGAGACCAGCCGATAGGGGCCTAATTCACTAATTTGGAAAATAAGTTCGACTGACCCTTGCCAAACAGACTGCGTTCCAGATGGCCTGAATACAGCGATTTGTTCAACGAAATAGTCGAAATCAATATGCCTAAAAAAGCTTTGAGAATTAGCTACGGGTATTTGCTACCAAGGGTCTCCGAAATTGTTTGGTCGGTTTGTCTGCGCCATTGTCTGCAGCACGAGCCTAACCCCGTACGGCACGGCATAGTCCGTAAAAACTGTAAGCTTTGAGACGGCACTCGTGATCACGTTCTTCATCTAAAGCAGTCCTACATGCAAACAGTAACGAGCGAGGGCACCGTCGTGAAGACCAGCGGGTCGACTGAGTATGTGTCGAGCACGATGGCCAAATCGAGACCTAGAAGCTTGGCAGGGCTTGGCGCTCCACTGACGGTGACCGGTGTTGGCATTGGTGTCGCCTAGAAATTAGCGTGCTTGAAGGCTTTAAATTAGAAAAATCGTGATCACTCCTTGACAGCTGAGGATTAAGTAAGATGCGTACCGTCGTAGTGACCACAGGTTGCGAAACCACCTTCGGGTATCCATAGATAGTAGCACTCGCTAAAGGGTAGTGAATGGTTTTCGGGCCGAATTTTATAACTAGCGTGTGACTGAGTAGTTCAGCGTCAAGGTTGGCTTCTTGGGATTCCAACCCCATTTACCTGTTGTCACCTTAGCCGTCCAGGTCATGTGGACCGTCGTTGTCGCGGTAATCGGAGGATAAACGTTCAAAGTGGCGTTCATCTGCTTGAAATTATCCACGGTTAGCCTAAAATATAACTACGGGTAGTTGGGTTCCGCGTACGTAAAGTTGTTAAAGCTGCCATCTTGCAAGGTCACCGCCAGCACCCTACTAGGATCAACGAAGGACTGGACGCCGAAGTTCTGCAAAACAAGACTACTTTGTTTAGTCACGTTTAACGATTTTTTAGAGTATGAGGTGTGCCCGAATGAGACGCACCCCCAGTCCGACCGAACCGTTGCCGGTTTGAATCGTGTACGTGCAGTACATTGCGTCAGGGACACAATCAGCATAACCCTGATCCGGATCGAACGGGGTGGCGATTTGATATGTCTGAGAATATTTGTTGATGTTTGAAGGGCAGACGCAGGCCCCATGAACCGACAGGACTGAAATGGTTGCGTTTTTGATAGGCGGTTCACCCGAAAATTTTTGGTTGATGGAAAAATCGACTTACCCAAGGCCAACACCGCCGCCACCACCCGTATAATCATGGTGCCGCCTAGAATCGTGTATATTTTGGAGTGCCTTTCAATTGCGAAAATCGGAAACTAAAATATTAGAAACACAGGAAGCCTCAATTGAGAAGAGTTGGCTGATCGGGGTTCGAGCTAGATAGTTGAAGGAAGGATGCTTCCGTTTTAGCGTCGGAGCAATTTTTGAGCGGGAAAGCAAGGCATTTTTTTTATTAAGCCTGTGCTTGCCGCATAGTGTCAGCATAGGACGTGTCAGACGAATTAATTTAAACGCTTTTTAAATTCAGGTTCTTGTAGAGACTTCAAAATGCGCCGTTTAGTAGGCGCGTCGTAGCGTCTAGCGGCAACGAAACCAGTACCACCCAGTTAATGTAAGGTTTCAGGTATATATATATAAATAAGGAAAGTAAACCACCGGCATATTAAAACCTTTTTCAAGGAAACGCCACGTGAAAACTGGGCGTTGGCCCCGACTCCCTCGTCTATCGGAACCGTGGGCATTTGGGAGGCGGCGAGAATCAAAAAAGCTTGACTGGGCTTATCAGACAAATTTTGCTGAAGGCGAGACCGGAATGGGTGGGGTGGAGAAACAATGGGCGATTACTAGAGATTGGGGGCGTACTGACGAGGGCCACTAAAGAAATGATTCGCGACGGAGCTATGCAGGCGATCGATAGATAAAGGAGCCGATCCGGGTACGCATACCTCATTTAATGTAATTCCGGAAGCTGAGGGAGAGGAAGTGTTTGCTATGGGCGTTGAGGTCAGCGATAGGAAACAAAATTCCAGTGATTTTGACACCGACAGTCTTTTCGGAAAGGCATTGATTGGAAAGGAGGAAGGAAGGACACCTGAAAATCGTGCGTAGTAATTAATTCACGAATTTGTGCTTTAATTTTGTATTTTTCGCTTCGCCAACATTTCAAAGAATGTGACGTTTCTGAATACTTATTCCGAGCTTCGGTGAAATCATCTTAGCGGCATCGAGTGGGTATGCGAGGAAGGTGAAGTCGACTGAAAAATCCTTGTAGCGTGTAGATAGACGCTAAACTAAACTCTTCGTATTTCCCGGATTTTCCCCGTAGTCCTGAACTATGGTGATGAACTCCGAGAAGCAGACCCAAGACTTGTAGAGCCTCACACTGTCCTTGGTCAGGTTAAACAGGAATTTTTCATTTCTTTTAAGGCCAAAGCCCTACAAAAATTGAGTTACGCGCCGTCAATGAAACGTCATTGAAGCCGTCCGGACCGTGAAGTCGATGTTAAGCTTTTGTGTAATTTCCAGATTTTCATAGTTTCTAGTTTACACGCCCCAACACCGTAACGGGCCATGCTAGGGGTAACCAGAGTCGCGCCAATTCCACCATTCGGGTAGCATGGCGCGAATTCTGACTGGGTGGGATCTTGAGCTCCAGTGAAGCCGTAGCTCTCCCGATAGGTGGTCAAGTTTTGAGAGCAAGCACAGCTGGCCGGGACGGTTTTTACTAGCCGTGTATTTAGAGCATTTTGACGTAACAAAATCTTTGTAGACTATGTTCCATATCGACTTGTTTACCGGCAAAACGCAAAACTGTTCGACCCTCTAATGTTGCTTATCTGCCCCGAGTCTTTTACTTTTTTGGTGGCATGTGACGCGACCTGATGGTACATTTTCCCTTTGAATTACCCGAAATAAGATAAGGGCAGGCAGCTTCGATCTAACAAAAATATCTGAACTGGAAAATCACGAAATTTGCCTCTGTTGTGCATCAAAATTTACACAAATACAAAGTATTAAGTCGTACTTTCGGAATTCGCAAAATTCCATGATTTGAACACCATTAAAAACATAAAGTCCCTAAATTTTTTTTGGGAACAAGGTGAAAAAATCACCGCCAGCAACCGCAAACAAGGGCGAGTGTCAGCCACATAGCGCTGTAATAAATGAAAGCTAGGGGACGATGGCCAAGCTACTACTTAAAGTACGGGGAGAGTCTTGTCGAATTTTGTCTTTTTGCTCGGTGCTGAACTTGGGTACTGTGATGGGACGGGGCAGACTCTGTGCTATCTTGGGGCCTTGCCTCAATTTTTTATTTGATTTATTGGGAAGTCAAAAACTGATTGGATCAGCGATTCTTCATTGGG